TGATAAGTTACAAATACAATAATAATAATTGATATTGATCCAACGAATTTTTGAATTGTGGCTATTATTTCGAGCGTTCTCATCAAAACCATCAACACATCGTCGGATATGCTAGCTTGTGGATCGAATGAACCAAAAAGCACCACTCACGCATAATTACGGTCGATAGTTTCTCTATCTACGGACCTATTGCCTGAACGTTTTTATTTCAAAAAAAAAACAAAAAAAAACAACTATCAGAGCAAAAGAAATTCGAAATGAAATTACCCAGCAAAATGGAGAATACGAATGGAATTGAGTCCAAACGAATTTGAAGATAATCAAGATAGTGAACGATCGAAAATGATTCGATAAAAGGTTATTATCAATTTACGTCTGACTATCATTGCTGAATTTTTTTCGATAGAAACGGCGATATACGCTTGTTGGTTATCATTCTATGTGATAAGATTATGCCAGCCCAAACACTCACGATGCAATTGCAACGTGTCCACTCAGCAAACGAACAGTCCATGGTTTAAAGCTCATCGCAATCGACCAGCTTGTTTGCTCACAATTCATTGCTTTTTGGCAAAAGCCGTTCAAATGACGGCTTCTTGTCAAGGAGAAGGGCGCCACTTTGTTGGGAGACATCATTTTCACCGGCTCGGTGTCTGAAGTGAGAAAAAAAAACTTGAANATTAAGATTATAGCGCATTAATGACTGCATTGAAACTGAAAATGTGAAGTGAATTCTGGGAAATATGAAGAAATTCGCTAAAAAAAAGTTAGTAATTGAAATTGTTGAAGTTTTGAGTTGACTGCAAGTGGAGAATGCTGGATTTGGATTGTGTGATTGCAAGTGAGAGAGTGACTAACAAGCGATTACATCGTTGTTGTGATTGCTGCTGCTATAATTGAGTGATTTCATCAACAGCAGCAAAAAAAAACTGCATGAATATGCGCTGATTTTTTAAGAAGTAGAAACAGAAAAGAATCATTTGAAGAGTATTTTATTCACATGACGAAGAAAGAGGAAACTTTGTTGAATTGATAAAGAAACTGAATTAAAGAGTAAATCGCAACTCAAACTCATTCATTCGTCCATCCATTCATCTTGTCATTCAATCGAATAAACTCGTCAACTTCGATATTGTTGCTTTCTCCATTTATTCAGTCTGTTCCATTTATCGTTTACT